AGAAGCAGAAAATTGAAAGATACATTTGCGAGCAGCAAATAAACGTTAGTGGAAATTATTATAGGAAAATAACGTTGGAAAGGTAGGTTGAGCCTGGAATGTGAAGGGGGTTCTTGAATATTGGGCCGAGTAATCAGCTTTATTCTGTGGGCAAAGGAGGTCTATTAAAGGCTTATATAAGTAGGGTACTGGCACCATCACAGTGATACTTTAAGTAATTGGGAATAATGGGCAGAATAAATTCAAACAGAGAAAGCCTAGAGATAATGAGAGAGAAAGAAAGAGAGAGAGAGAGATCCATTGCAATAACCCGGGCACTATGAGATAAATATGTGACCTCAGTAGTGTCAGTAGGAATAAAAAGGAAATGAAATGTTCTAGAGACATTGTGAAGGAAGAAATGATCATTAATATATATTAAACCTCTACTAAGTGCCAGGGACTGTACTATGTGCTTCATGTGGATTAACCCATTTAATCTGCATGTCAACCCCAAAAGGCAAGTAAGTTTATTGTTTCTATTTTACAGATGAGGATTAAGCAACTTTCTCAAGCGTATACAGTTAATAGTGATAAACCAGGATTCAAACCCAGGTCATCTGTCTCTGGGGCCTGCCTCTTAACCTCTATGCTTACTGTTTAAGCATAGGCTCAGGGGTCTTGGTGGTGGATCATATGTTACAAGATTTGATAGAACTTGATGATTGATTATATATGAGTCATAAGAACCTGAGATTGTTGAGAATCTTGATTCTGAGATTTTTGGGCAATGGCTAGAATAGTGACACTATGAATAAAAGGAGGGAAACTAAAAAGACCTTCCGGACTTCATATTTTACATTTGTTCTTAATGGTACAATTGCTTTTTCAATTTTAAGTGTCAATTCACCATAAAAGTCACAAAACCACCAGCTGAACCACCAAACTTAAAAGGCTTTGAAGATAGGAACCAGCTGATTCTTCCTTCCAAGTTTCACTAATGTATATGTGGAGTCTAGCACAGTGCTCTGTATATAAGAGATGCTCAACAATAACGTGTTAAATGAATCATTGGAGGGGTATTAATCATAAATGAGAATAAAGGGAGGGAGGGTAGTAGAGTCAAAAGAGTATGACCCAGAGTAAGACAAATCTTGGTTCAAATCCTGGCTCATCAACTTTCCAACTCTAGGACCTAGCGTATGTTACTTTAAACATTTTGTAGAATATGAGGTAATAATTCATGAGAAAGCCAGATAGCTTTCTGGATTTAGTGCTTCTATGTAAGGCAGTGGATCCATAAAAACCTAGAAAGGATGCCCTCAAAGGCTGTTATCTCTGACAGAAGAAAATCTGCAACCTTCTTCTCTTATTGAGTTTAACTTACAGAAACTACATTGAGACCTATACAAAAAAATCTGCTAATTGCCAGTATTAAAAGAGAAATAAATAATTTTCAGAGAAGTAAAATTACTTTATAGTTTCAACTGAAGGGGAGGTTTTAATTGCAGGGAGACATCAGCTGAATGGTTTAGTGTGGACTAGTGGGATCCAAAGAAAAACCAAGTTTAATTAGCCTTAAGATTTTATACAGCGTGGCTCTTCCCTCCCACACCTAGTCTGATTCCATCGGGTCAATCTCCTTTTCAATCACGCTCTCTCCCATCCTTTTCTCAGATGCTGTCAGGACAAGCCAATGGGAGAATGACATACAGATGAAAACAAGATTTGAATAATTACTGCACTGCGGCTGGTTGTTGTTTGAGGATCATTTTATTTCTTCCAATCACACAGGTCCTTGGACTTCACAGCCTCGTGTTTCAGATGGGGCTGATGCTGATTATATTATGACATTACAGCAAAGACAGGCAGATCAGACAAAGTGAATTTCACTCAGTAATTAAACTGCAGTATCTTTCGTGGAAAGTCCAGGGCAGGATTAATCGAAAGGTAGCTCTTTATCATCTCGATTAGTGCTGGGATTTGAAGTGAGCTCTGATTTGACAGCTAGCCCTGAGTCGGGCTGACTGGTGGCCCCATATCTGTCTAACTTGCAAAATAATATCAGATCAAGAGACATTTGCAAGGCTATACCCTTTCCTTTTATTTTATTTTTATTTGAAGGAAATGCAGATAGATTCAAATATGCTACCATTTCCATTACCCTGTTTGCTATTACAAAAATGTCTATTAAAAAGAACAGGTCCTTCCAAACCCCACAGCATTTTACAAATGGTTTCACATAATTCCACTTAGCACCATGCTCTAATGGCTTCTTATTTCTTCCTTTTTCATTATCGGAGACTCAAATCTGAACATTTGGATGGCCCAAGCAACAGCTTCTCAAGCTGCTTAGTTTCCACTTTTATTTCAAAGGACTCATTGTAGGATTTATGGAGGAATTTTGCTTCTCTCAATTGCTCTTTTAATGTGTGAGATATTCCCAAATTCTTTACTGAGTCATGCATTGGATCACTGATCTCAATCCTAGACGTCTATAGAAGCACCTGTGAGGCTTTGTAAACAATCAAGACATCTAGCTCCCGCTCCAGACCCAAAGATTCAGTATCTGCAGCAGTGAGACCCCAGCACCTGTAAATTTTTATAAGTCTATTGGCGAACTGAACTTGCTGCCAGGGTTGAGCCCCATTGAGTGAGCTCTACAGTATACCAGCCATATTTGCAAACGCTTTATCAAAACAAGCCACTGTTGAGGGAAATGAAGGCTGATATTGTTGTGGAAAATCTCTTAAGAAAATGGTAAAAACCTTTTTCTAATAACCTTTGCATAGAAAAATATATATCAGGTCTCTTAAGGGCAATGGAAGACGAAGAAGACTACAAAACAGAGATTTATGTTGACAATGCTTCCACTGATCCATCTGATAACATTCAAGGTGATGGTTTACTGATTGAGCTCATCACAGGATAACACTGTAGCTACAAACCATATAATGTAAGACGACTGTTGACTAACTTCAGAAAATCTCAGAGTTTGGACACAAACTCGGAATTAGCTGTTATCTAATTTAATACCTCCACTATTCAGCTGTCTTTTTAGAAAGAGAACGGCAGAATTGAAATACCTGATTTCAAATTCTGACTCGGCCTTGTTTTGGAGTTTAAGAACACACATTCTGGAGTCAAACCGAATCCAATTACTAGTTGGGTGGCCTTCAGAAAGGTATTTACTTCTCTAAGTCTCAATAATCACATCTTTAAAATGGGGCCAAGAATACTTATCTCACAGAGCTCTTTGGGTTTTATATTGATTAATTTACGTAAGAGTGCCTGGCCAACAAAAGTATCAGAATGAAATAAAAGTCTGTTGAAGGCAAATACAATAATATTATTTAAGGCTGTCTCTGAGCCTCTGTGCCTCAAAACCGTCAGTTTTGAGACTCAGAGATCAGTTTTCTGGAAGATTTGATCTGCCAGGGATAAAGAGAATGAATCCAAATACAAACTGCTTTCAAATTTTATTGTGCATAAGCATCACCTGGAAGTGACTGTTAAAAATGCAAATTGCTGGGCTCCAATCCCAGAGAGTCTGATTCAGCATGTAAGGGGGCAATCCAGGAATATGCATTTTAGCAACCACCCAGGTCGAGGATCCTCACTTTGATAAAACAGCTATAAAGGAATAGAAATTAGTTAAACATTTATCCCCAAAATAATCACAGGTGTGGCCTGACCTGGACGAGGCCATGCTTTCTGTTCCTTAGGTCAGAATTCAGTTAGATGAATTTAAGTTATGCACAAATATAACATGTTCACAGAGTGTGATTATGCTTACAGAGTAAAAAGTCTATTTTTTCTTAAATATGCTTCCTGAATGGGGCTGGCCCGCGCGCTCCGCTGCAGGCGGCCCAGTGTTTCTTTGGTTCGAATCCTGGGCGCGGACATGGCACCGCTCATCAAACCACGCTGAAGCAGCGTCCCACATGCCACAACTAGAAGAACCCACAGCGAAGAATACACAACTATGTACCGGGGGGCTTTGGGGAGAAAAAGGAAAAAATAAAATCTTAAAAAAAAAAAAATGCTTCCTGAATAATTATCATTTAGCCACTAATATTATCTTCAACTTTTTCATCACCATTAGGTACATGTAAGTATACAGGCATGGGTCAGATCATTATCAACTCATCGTTTGTCTTCTTATGAAATAAAAATGTCTCCTTCTGAAAATTGGCAAATTCTTTAAACAAACAAAAGTAGCTATTTCCTCCTTTAAATGCATCATAAAATAAAGTATTTTTGAAGTACATTAATCAAAATTGATGATAAAAATCAATGCACAATTGTGAGTTGAATATTTTAAGTGCAATTGATAAATTAATTTGCTAAAAGGAAGATATCCAACCTATAAATGGAAACTATTCTGGATCTAAGGGAAAATTTTAAACATTTTCACCTTCAAGGTTTTTCTAAGGAAAAAACAGTGAGACAAATTCCAGAAATGTGTTTAGAGTTTGTAACACAATATGCCAACAGATGTACATTAACTTTCTATATTCTAAAAGTTATTGTACAAGACCACAAGAGAATTATGGTCTCTAATTGCAGCTGAGCATATAGTTGAGCTGCAACTCAGCTCATAGTGGAGGAAAAAATAGCAATATGAGAAAATGTTATCCACATTACAAGACAATATAGCCTAGTAGTCAAGTGTGAAGCAGAAGGAGAATCTTTTTAATACATACTATGTGAGCTAGAGTAAGCTACTTAAGATCTCAGAAACTCAGGCACAGTACCTCTCCGAGAGGGTTGTGGTGACCATAGTGAGTATTGAATAAATGCAAGCTGTTTTTTATTATAATAGTTGACAGTTTATTTCACAAGATATGTCACAGGTGAGACTTAAGTGAATGGTGCAGACATTGAGAGCTACAGAAATCTAAAATTAAGAGAATATTGGCATGGCTGGTAAGGTTTTTGCAAGGAGTGGTATTTGAGTTGGATAATTCAGAACGACTAAGAATTGGATAGACAGAGGCACAAAGGTCGTTTTAGGCTTGGGGGGGTGGTGTTGATCTGAGCTGCAGGTAAGAGATACAAAGTGTTTAGGGACTGTTAAATAGTTTAGGATAAAACTGTAAAATATAATTTGGGTAAAATGATAGAGGGTTCTGAATTCCAAAAGTCATTTTTTGTTTTCTTGGTAAAATTTTTAATTGCTCAAATGTTTTCCCAGTGTATTTCAACATCTCTTTAGAATAGTGGTTATCAAGTTTCAGTATGCGTCAGAATCACCTGGGGGACTTGTTCAAACACAAATTGCTGTACTCCACCCCAAAGTTTTTAATTCACTGGGTTGGCGTCTGTGTAATAACATATTCCTAGGTGATATGAATGCTGCTGGTCACTTTGAGAACCACTGCTTTAGAAGATGGTAAGACAGAGTCGGAAGGAGGAGGTTTTACCTAAAAGTAAGAAAAAATTGAATAACTAAATAACTCTCTTAATTTCCTATAAAATTTCACGCCCATTTTCATACCAAGTTGTGAAAGAACCTACTTGGAGATTACCTAAGGGAAAAAAAAAATGCTAATTTGACCTCCTAATCTCTCTACTGGGTTCAGGTCCATAACTGTGGGAATGAGAAGATCCATAATCAAAGGACCCCAGGCCAACGAGCTTGGACAGTTAAAGGAGACTTAACTAGCATTAAGCATATTCAAGAATTGAAAACAATAGAGCCAAGAGATTGAAGAAGGTGGGTGGACTTTTTATTCCAAAGAGTCTCTAACAATCCGTGCCAGACATTTTGTACTTGGGTTACAATTAACTGCCTGCCCCATAAACCACAAACTATTTTCAACCCACCTTCATTCACCTTTTCTTTTTCTTTTCAGCTTTATTGAGATATAATTGGCATGTAACATTGTGTAAATTTAAGGTGTACAATGAGATGATTTGATTTGGGTTATTTCCTTGGTCATTTGTTTACATATTTCTTCTAAGTAAAAATCTTTTTTGGAATATAGACTCTTAGCATATTCTGGAAGATGGAGGCTATTTTTCTCTTGGAGTATAATTGACATACAATATCCTGTAAGTTTCAGGTGTACATCATAGTGATTCGATATTTATATACATTATGAAATGATCAACACAAAAATCTAGTTACCTTCTGTCACCATACAAAGTTATTACTATATGATTGGCTATATTCTGTATGCTGTACAGTTGTAAATAAGTCATAGGGATCTGATATACACCTTTTTATTTTCTTCACCAGGCGGTCAGGAGTCAGCAGGGGGAACAAGACCTCTTTACCCAGGCATGGGGTCACTGTTTAAGCATCTCCACCTACTGCTTCAAAATTGTTCTCCGAAACAAACTTTCACTATGTAGTAACTCTACTTTAGGAAATACTTTTAAAGGCAGAAAAAGAAAATGAAATGCTCCAAGAGACTCTATTTTCTCATGCACGACTCCAACAGCACTATCTCACAAGTTAGTACTTTATTTTTAATGGCAGAAAAAAAATAATGTTGTGTTTGAAGACTCATGCAGAAGTCTTTGTGATAAAAGGTCAAAAGTGGATTTTAAATGTTCGAAACTCCAAACATCTCTCAATAATAGCAGCTTATGTCCTAGCCATTTGTCTTTCCTTAAAATAAGCTATATAATTACAAAGTATAATTAATAATAATAACAACAATTACCACAAGTACAACAGAAATAATGATGGTAAGCACCATAGGCCCAGATCTTCACAGTTACAAAGGATAAGAATTTGTCTCAGTATTTTCAAGAACAGACAGCAGCCCAATAATACAGAGAAAAAATTGAAAGGAAAAAATCTTTCCTATGCTCCCTGGAAAATACCACAGAAAAATAGACAATGAACTTTAATACCTCTTGTTAAAGATCTTCATTTTATAGATCAGTTCAGGCAATTTAAGTAGACAACAACATGAGGCCTCCAACGTCTCTTAGGAAACAGTATCAACATTAATTCCTGGCTGGTCCCAATTCCATTTCTAGTTAAGCATCCCCATCCACTCATAAGAAAAAGGAAATAGCATTTGTATAGTGTTTTACAGTTTATAAAGCACTTTCACAAACATCATATTATTTGATTGTCTCAACAATCCTGTGGGATAGGTAAGTAGGAAGAGTATTAATATTCTACCCATCAGCAAGTGAGAGAATTAAAGATCAGAGAAGACGGAAATAAATTAATCTTTACTAAATATCTACATTGAGTCAAACTCTGTGCAGACCTAAAAAGAAGCCCAAATACAGAGTTTTACATAACATGAAATAGGCTCAGAGAATCTGATACCTACCCAAGGTCACAAATGACAGAGCTAGGACTTGAAGGCGGATGATCCAGTCCCTAAGATGCACTTTCTACCAAACCATAGACTGGATTCTCAGTTGCAAACGTATAGTTATAGCAACTGGCCCTCTCAAGAGGAGGCTTGTTCAATTGCCAAGTGTGACAACTACTAGTAGTGTTCAAGGTTTTGTTTGTTTTTAGTTAGCCTGACAAAAATGGTACACACCCCTTGAGAAGATGTGCATCTCTATATTACTTAGTCTGTCAAGAGAAAAAGGAGAGAATGTATTATTTCATTGGCTTAGAATACTGACTTTTTTTTTTAAGATTTTATATTTTTTCCTTTTTCTCCCCAAAGCCCCCCAGTACATAGTTGTATATTCTTCGTTGTGGGTCCTTCTAGGTGTGGGATGTGGGACACTGCCTCAGCGTGATTTGATGAGCAGTGCCATGTCCGCGCCCAGGATTCGAACCAACGAAACACTGGGCCACCTGCAGTGGAGCGCGCGAACTTAACCACTCGGCCACAGGGCCAGCCCCTAGAATACCGACTTTTAAAAGTCACTCCAACTACCCACAGACACAAGGGACAACACAGCCTCATTTCCACCAAAATACTCCTTACAAGGAAAACAAATCAAAAGACTAACCAACCTCAAAGGCTAGATTCTGGCCTAGGCTCAACTTTAAACTATTAGTTTTTAAATAAGTGGCTAAGATATATGCATATTAAAATGAGGAATAACAGGAGAGGGTGTATAAGCGAAACAAATCATCCCTTCGCTGTTCTGAACTCAGGAGTCTCAAAGCGGTAGATTCAGACTCTGAAGCCTCTTGATCAAATTGCCATACCTCTTTTTGCTTTTACTTTTCACATCCAATTACTTGTACAATAATGTATAATTTTTGCTTTTTACATTTTTTTGCAATTTACATTTACTTGTACAACTTGTAAGTTTTGTTTTTTGTTTTGAGATAGTTATATGCTCCCTCTACTTTATGCACCGCTTCTGACTTAGAGCATTTAAAGGATTGGCAAAGCAATGTCTTCCCACAAAAGAGATGGAGGTTTCACCTAGAAGGCATTATGGGAATTTTGGCTGCAGAGGACAAGGGAGGTCTAGTCTATAGGTAAATATTTGCGAGGTTAGATTGAATTTTTGAGTATTAAATTAAAACATTTATTGAAAGAAGATTGCTGTGTATACCTAACAACTACCTTGCTACTGAGCATTTTTAAACAATTGCAGAATTTCAGAGTTGATTCTATCCTGGGTATTTTATTTTTATAATGAAGAATATTACTGTTGGAGTTCATTAAAATTATATATTACAATTGCCTAAGGATTGAACACCCTATAAAACATCCCTGAAAGTGGTTGTCCATGCTGAAACACCTTGGTCTTAGAGGATTAATATTTGTTGATATCAGGGACTGTTATAGACTGAGTATGTCCCCCCCCCCTTAAATTCATATGCTGAATCCCTAACCCCCAATGCGACTACATTCCAAGATAGAGCCTTTAAAGACGTAATTAAAATTGAACGTGATCATAACGGTGGGGCTCTAATCCAATAGGACTCACATCCTTATAAGAAGAGGAAGAGACACTAAGGAGAGTGCACACAGAGAGAAGGCCATGCAAGAAGACATGGTGAGAAGGTTGTCTGCAAGCCAAGGAGAGAGGCCTCATGAGAAACCAACTCTACTGACACCTTGATCCTGGACTTCCGGCCTCCAAAAATGAGAAATAAATTTCTGTTGTCTAGGCCACCCAGTCTGAGATATTTTGTTATGACAGTCCTAGCAAACTAATACAGGCATTAAAGTTCTCACAACACCTTGCAAGGTAGGAATTGATTAAACCTACTTTACAGGTATGAAACAGATTATGGGAGATTCAAGAAATGTCCCAAGAGACACAGAATCAATAATTGGCATAACTAAGATTTAACCTAATTCTGTCCTCCAGACCAATATTTTTTTCTCCTTGTCTGTTTTCTAGCTTTAAGCACATAAGGGTGTTAAAAAGTTAGTTTTTATATTGACCTGAATATTTTATTCTTGTATATTTCATCACTGGTTTGCGTTCTACTTGGAGTCACAAAAAACAACACAATTTATCTTCTATGTGACAGTCCTCAATATACTCGAACATAGTTGTCATACTCCTTCCTCATGAATTTCCAAACAACCCCAGGTTCCTCAACTCTTCCTCATATCACACATTTCATTCTCTACCGTCCTGGTCACTTATCAGGATGACCAGGTAAGTGGTCATCCTGAAGAGGTTCCTATTTGTGTAGATTTCTTGTACTGGCTTCTTACATCATATCTCCCTTATATCACTCATGAGTAGTCCTTTAAGAATATAAAGGCAAAATCTTGCATTTATCCATTTTAGAAATTATATCTGGTTAGCTGTAGCCCATCATTCCAGTCCTTCAAGATGTCTTTGGAATGTTTACTTCATTCAAAAACTTTTCTATGTATTTAGATCATGTCATCTGCAACTCTGATGAACATGCTTTCATCCAAGTCATTGAAAAAAACATGGTAGCCAAATATGGCTTAGGATATTCCTGCAATATACCATAGGAATCACTTCTATGATGACATTGAACCATTTATTTGCACTTAATAGTGTGGTCATTCATCCAGTTACTAATCTGTCTGTACTTAGATTAGTTACCAATCTATCTGTACATCTAACCCAGGTAAGGTCAGGTCATATATTGTAGACATGCTTTCACTGAATCCACTCTGGTTTTTAACAAGCACCACTTCTTTCAGGAGATCATAAACCATTGCTTTAAGCTTTATTGTTTTAATAATGCATTCTAGGCACTTGCTCAGGACTGACATTGAGCTGTTTCTTCTTATAATCTGCCTTTTTATACTTTCTAAAATCAGAATATTTTTTACATCTCTAGTTGTCTAATGTCTTTTCTCCTTGGATATGAATGGCAGTAATTGATGATCTAATTGACAAATCCTCTCACTAGCCTATGGTTCTCTAGCTCTATTTCCAGGCTCTTGTCCTTTTTCTTCTTCCTATTTCCTTCTGAGGAACAGAGTCACTCATGTGTAATCATGGAGTGCATCCAGAGACAGTATGCTGGTCAGAGATAGATCTGTAAAGCCGAAGAGTAGAGAGGATTTAAACAAGGTGCTGGCCTCAGGCCTGACCGCATTAGCAGAGGAGAATGGGCTGTGACTAGGTGAGGGTTTGCTTTCATCTCTGTCCAGGGATCTGCCTAACTTCTGTTTTTGACTTCTAACTGTGTACCGAGACAGAGTTACATCCTTTTCCTATTCACTCTGGATGATTTCCTCTGCCAAATACAAAAGCTTTGTATTTTTCAGCCTTTAACTGAAAAAGATTGTGATATATACTGCTTTTATTTTCCCATAAAGTCTTTCTCTGAGGCAGGCATGTACCTGACCTTTACCTAATCAAGAAAAGTTGTTTGGGGGATGGGGGATAGGGATGCAGGTTGGACTTTAAATGCACAAATCAGTTCTAATAAAAACACTGAGATTCAGGTGCCTGAGGTTAGAAATACTGGAGGGAATTCAATTACACTAATTAATATTTAAGAAGGGCTAGAGATCACATACTGAATGTGGGAAACTAGGCCAGTCAGACACGAGCATATGGGGAGGGCAAGATCAACTGATAAAAGTAACAAACAAATCATACATAAATGCTCCAACAGGAATGAAATAGAGAATATAAAATAAATGTTCCAGCAGACACTGAAGAGGAGGTAAAGTAAATGGTCTACCAGCCATAAAAGCAAAATGTTCTAACACACACAAGACTTTTCATTGGTTTTAGGTAAACATATATACTATAAAAATGATTTTTTTTTCAAATAAGGTAGTAGGAAATGTCGCCCATTTATTAAAACAGACTTAGTTTGGGTTCTGTGAATTCACAGCATACTATTATTTGCTCTTGTTTCCTCACGGGCCCATCAAGTAATAGTCTCAACATGGCTTGACTTTCATAATAGGTAGTTCCCAATGGCTAAGTCTATCTGGATACCCAAAACCTGACTGAAGGTGGAGAAGCAGCAGAGTATTCTGGGTTCCCCACAAGTCTTTCTAGTTCTGGCTTTTATGTCATTTGGTTGATATCACAGTTGATCCCACATTCTCTCTTTGGACTTGATTTTTCATTTGTGACCCAGATAGTCAATTCTGATTTTTGGTCACTCTTGTACACTTCAAAGCTTTCCAGAGAAGGTACTAATGGTACCAAAACTACCTTGCTTCTACCATGTAAATGGTTCTTTCTTCTTCTACACTAGCATTTACCCACCCTTTTCTACTTCTTCTCCACTTCGAAGCCCTCTCTCCCTCCTTCCTTTTTCTCTAGTTCATCAGGACCTTGAACTACTATTCTACCAATCTTATTTTTTCAAAGCTCTCCCCTCTGAAAGCCACAGTGTATCAGCTCACAGTGCCATCTTGGGAGCTTTGAAACTGGGAGGCTGGAGAATTCCCTGGGTTGCTTTTGCTATCAACAGCATCATGCAGAAGCAGAAGTAGAAACCTAGAGCAGTAGATGGGAGGAGACTGAGACTGAGATTTGGGCCCCTCTTCCAAATTCTCTAGTGCACGCAGATGGTAATTAAATGACTTTGGACAAACCCAATGTCTATGTTTAATGTGTAATATTAGGCTTGTGGAGAGAACAAAGCAGAAAAACGAAAACAAGGTTCTCGCCCTTTCGGAGTTTAACCCCTAGTTGAAGAAATAATTTAAAAAATACCAAAACCCACAAGATAAAGAATCCTCAAAGTGTTTAATTGTCCTTAAATAATAGAGGAACAGAGACAGGAAATAAAGGTACTTCCTAAAAATTTGAACTAAATTCGTGGTTTTCACACTCCTCTTGATGGTCCCCAAGCTTACAGAGAGATTGCAAAGAGACGATTGAGCAGTTAAATATTTAATTAAAATGTAAATTAAAAAAATTATACATTTGTACCAATTTACAATTGTGATAAAAATGACTTGCAAATTTAAATGTTTTATATAAAATTTTAAAAAACATCGGAGACCAATGTATTGTTACAAATTAAATATGCACAATAAGGTTAACTAGTTTTCATGCAGGCCTCAAATTAAGGCCCTGAGATTGGATGGCAAACTGTTACAAAAAAACCTCAAAAACTGTTACTATGTGCAACTGCTTATCTGTGTCTCGTGATTTTCTTGACACCATATCATACTCCATTCCTCATGGAAAATACACTGAGTGCTTAAGCCAATAATATAATAATCAAATACTGTTTCCATGTTTTTGTATATTTGCCATTATATTCTTACTGATTGACTTTATAATATTTAGTATGATAAATAACTTGAATTTGTAAAATGACTTTATTTTAATAAAATATTGCTCTTATTATTTTATATGAAAAGCCTCCAATAAGATTTGTTTTGAAATGAGGATTCTGATGTTTAAAAGAAATATGAAAAATTTCTGGATCAAATAATTTGTATGAACCCTCGAACTCAAGGTAGTATGAGTTTCATGCTTCTGACTCCAGGCTGCTCAGTTTCTCTGAATTTATTGACTTGCTGGTTCAGACTACTGCATACAGCAGATATACCGGGCGCAAACTAGATTTCATATACTGGCTACTATTCCTTCAAGCTTAAGAGAGATGATATCTTTACTCTGAGGAGTAGATTATTTATCATGAAACCATCACATGTTGAAAGAGGTCCCCTTGTCTCAAATATACCCAGGACATGAAATTTATCAGATATTCTGAGAATGTCAGATTATAAGAATTTAATATATTAGTTTAAAATTTAACAAGTAGTAACCAAGAAATAAGTCAATGGAAACCTCTTTAATTACCTAAGAAGCGTTGCCTATATTAATTATGTAATACATGGACATTTACTCATTTATTTTACATTAACTCAAAATATATCAAAAGACTACACAAGATTTTTTCCTAACATTAATCAGCCATTATCTATGGTTTAAGAAAAGAGTGGGCCAAAAATGCTTCCACCACTACAAAGAGTGGAACTAGTAAACTTGAGGAAAGATCCATTTTTCAAGACCTGATCTATGCTCTACTATGGAAGCATGTCAAACTCTTCTAACATGGAAACACATGTAAGCTAAGAAAAAATTGACGAGGTTTTTCACGGTCTCTATAAAGAGCAGTAAAGCTAGAATTATGTATGTATTTGTCTTTTAAAGGCTGTCACTTGAAAGGTACCACAGTATAAAGAATGGTTTAAAGAGCATTTGAGTTTCTATTCTGGCTGCACAGTCCTAGCTATGTGACCTTGGGCAAATTACTTAAACTGTCTAAGCCTCAGCTTTTACTTCTGTAAAATGGAGGAAATAATAATAGCTACCCTCATAGATTTGTAGTTAAGAAATAAATGAATAAACGAAATAATGAATGAAAGTTGCTTAGCACATTGCCGAGCACATAAAAAACTCTCAGTATAATTGTTAAAATTGCTAAACACCTAAAACCCAATTTTCTTCTGGTTACTTTTTTCTATGATGTGATTTTACTCATAATTTATTGACTATATGTTCTTCCCTTCTGGGATGATGTTCTACTTAGATTACTTTTTCTTTGTTTCTAGAATGTTCTCTGGCTAATACCTCTTCACTTCCACCCCAGTCATCGGATAGGATCGCTGGGCTTTATTTTGGTAGTTCACTACTTGGTTTTCTGTCACTGCCTGTGTC